GAACCGGGGACTAACGGCTTTACTTCCCTTCCGAAGGAAGGAGTGATCAGAGATGTTATACTTCAGAACATCCCGGCGGCGCCGACTGGGATTGAACCCAGGCCTGTTGGGGTGAGAGGTAATCATGCTTACCACTACACCATCGGCACCGCTGACTATCTATTATTGATTAACTATTATTTACGATAATTACATGAAAGAAATAAAATATAAACTACAAACAAAACGAGACTACTAAAATCTCAAAAAGATATTCTCACTAATATATTTCACGCAACCAGGAATCTCAAAACCATTAGCGTCTAATACTCTGCACATGTTAGACACAAGAAGAGGCCAAAAAGCAAGCGTCCGACACACAAAACCCGCCAAATCCACTTGCAGTCACGATCAACGAGCGTTCACGAATCATAAAACCGCTGATTGCGACATTTCTGAACAGGCTTGCTTCCACTTACTTGCTATAAAAAATTGTTTTTCGGAATTATGAAATTATTAGATATTATGATGATAGTTAGTAGTTGTAAGTCTCAAGATAAGGTTGTAAACTAGGTGTTTGACACATAAAACCTGTCATTATTGCTTTCAGTGCGTCACAATCAACGATTTTACAATTCGTGAGCACTCACTCTGAGTGAACGCTCACGAGTCATAAATTCGCTGATTGTGATGCACTGAAAGCGAAATTGACAGGTTTTATGTGTCAAATGCAAACCTTCCAACCTCTTTTTGTTTCTGACAAGTACAAACATTCATAATTGCATCCAATGATTCCATAATTCCGAAAAACATTTTTTATAGCGAAGTGAGTGGAAGTAACCCTGCTTCTGAAAGCGAAATGGACAGGCTCTATGCGTCAAACACCCACCCTCCAATCTCCTCCCGCATCCAACAGCACAAATCCCCACTACAACAACGAATTCAAAACTCCGAAAATCACTCATCTATAGCAAGTGAGTGGAAGCAACCCTGCATGCAACCATTCTTCATGATACACTTTTTCTGCCTATCTTTCTATTAGGCCTGTGGACATGCGTTAACTTCGAAACTTAACCAAAATGGGAAAATTTTCAGATCACAAAAAAAAATTTGAAAAAAACTTTCAAAGCTAATTACAAGTAAAATATATTGATTATTTTATGCAAAAACGAGCAATTAATATTAAATCTCTTGTATCGTATGCTAATGCTAATTGACTGTAACAAAAATAATATGCTTAAATAAAATAAAATATTAATACAATTATATGCAAAATTTACTAGAAAATCTTTATTGGTGAGAAGTTTCTAATAAGCCCTCCCAGTTCCTCTGTATACAGAACAAATCTGATACTATAATCAGAATGGCTCAGTCTGCATGAAGCAGCCGATTTCATCAAGGAAGTTCTATTAACAACCAAGAATTAATCGTTTGAGGCATACTGAAGCATTAAGAAGGTGATATGTGTCACTATAGGAAATCATCAACGTTGCTAATATAAAGAAATTAAACATAATCCTTTGCTTCAGTACCGTCAACCCCCATGTCCATGGGGAGGGTTGGAGTTGGAGTTGGAGCTTACCGCCATAAAGTCGTAAGTTCTAGCGGCGCCGGTGGTGTAGTGGTAACCGTGATTGGCTCTCACCCCAAAAAGGCTGGGTTCAATCCCAGTCGGCGCCGCCTTGAAAGTCGTTGACAACATTAGAAGGCGAAAAGGAGACAAACTAGTCAAAAGTAGATTAAAAGTAAACTGGTCGTTGGGTATTTTTTTTACCGTGTACATTATAGAATTCATACAATCATAGCCTACTTCATGACATGAGGGTACTGCCAACAATCAATACGAAACTAACGATTTTAAATTGGCTCACCACTTTAGTAGCCTATTGGTCCCAAGCAAACGATTAACGTACCCTATTCTAGTTGAAATTCTATTACTACACTATGTTTGTTTTGATTCGCTATGAAAGTTTGACAGATAACATCAGGGGTGTGTGGATTCATGCAGAACATGCAGGGGTGAGTGAAATAGCTTGGGACTGCTTGGGACCGTTGTTCTGGTACTGAGTGAGCCAAAAATAATAATGATTTTGTTCGGGACCCAGTGGTCTTATACCAACAATCAATACGAAACTAACGATTTTAAATTGGCTCACCACTTTAGTAGCCTATTGGTCCCAAGCAAACGATTAACGTACCCTATTCTGGTTGAAATTCTATTACTACACTATGTTTGTTTTCATTCGCTATGAAAGTTTGACAGATAACATCAGGGGTGTGTGGATTCATGCAGAACATGCAGGGGTGAGTGAAATAGCTTGGGACTGCTTGGGACCGTTGTTCTGGTACTGAGTGAGCCAAAAATAATAATGATTTTCTTCGGGACCCAGTGGTCTTAGAGTTACCTCTATGCTTATACCCCGTTCACATTACAGCTTATATCACGTAATATAGGCTGTCTTGCAATGAGCACTCATACATAGGATTTCCAGTGAAAACTAGATGTATGAGTGCTCATTGCAAGACAGCGTATATCACGTGATATACGCTGTAATGTGAACGGGGTATTAGATTTACCTCTATGGTACTGCCGATATGTCGCATTCAAACTAGAGAGGGTCTAGTATAAGAGAGGAGCGGACTACCTGGTTTTGAGCCGAACGAATTGGCAGTGATGGAAGAAATCATCTAGACATAGGCTGCCAAGGCAGCTTGTTTTATAGAAGAAATATTTAGTTTCAATGTGTTTCGAGCATTCCTCAATTCGATCACTACTAATAGTACGTTCAGACTACAGAGTCAACGGCGCCGGTGGTGTAGTGGTAAGCGTGATTACCTCTCACCCCAGCAGGCCTGGGTTCAATCCCAGTCGGCGCCGCCGGGATGTTGAGGCATAACATCTCTGATCACGCCTTCCTTCGGATGGGAAGTAAAGCCGTTGGTCCCCGGTTCATGAGTTGATGGGTCGATAGGTAGGGTCCAGGTGAAGGAGCTGCCTTCCTGGCACGTCGGTAGCATTGGTGCTCAGCACGGAAAACAAGATCGACGGAAAAAACAAACCAAAGGAAAAAAAGACTACAGAGTTTTATAACATAGAGGTAACTCTAAGACCAGAAGGTCCCGAAGAAACGTGCTCAACTTTTTGGTTCAGCACATAGGAAACATAGGAAACATAGGAAAATCCACGAACCCCCAATTTCATCTGTCAAACTTTCATAGCGAATCAAAACAAACATACTGTACTACTAGAATTTCGAATGGAATGGGGTACGATAATCGATTTGCCTGGGACCAATAGGCTAGTCAAGTAGTGAGCCAATTTAAAATCGATAGTTTCGTATTGATTGTTAGTTATAACATGTTATAACGGTTGTCAAATAATTGCAACACAGAAACCACCATCAAGATAGCGCTATAACATGTTATAATTCTGTAGTCTGAACAAGGTATAACTAATAGTATGTTCAGACTACAGAGTTATAACATGTTATAGCGCTATCTTGATGGTGGTTTCTGTGTTGCAATTATTTGAAAACCGTTATAACATGTTATAACTCTCCAGTCTGGACAGCGTTTAAAAGTACAGAGTTATAACAAGTTACCTCTATGGTTGAAACATGTTACAACGGTTGTCAAAACCACCATCAAGATAGCGCTGTAAAACGCTGTACAGACTGGAGAGTTATAACATGTTATAACGGTTGTCAAATAATTGCAACACAGAAACCACCATCAAGATAGCGCTATAACATGTTATAACTCGGTAGTCTGAACGTAGCATAAAACGCTGTCCAGACTGGAGAGTTATAACATGTTATAACGGTTGTCAAATAATTGCAACACAGAAAACACCATCAAGATAGCGCTATAACATGTTATAACTCGTAGTCTGAACGTACTATAACATGTTATAACGTTATAACTCTATAGTCTGAACAAGGCATAATAGTACGTTCAGACTACAGAGTTATAACATGTTATAGCGCTTTCTTGATAGTGGTTTCTGTGTTGCAATTATTTGACAACCGTTATAACATGTTATAACTCTGTAGTCTGACTGTCCAGACTGGAGAGTTATAACATGTTATAACGGTTGTCAAATAATTGCAACACAGAAACCACCATCAAGATAGCGCTATAACATGTTATAACTCGGTAGTCTGAACGTAGCATAAAACGCTGTCCAGACTGGAGAGTTATAACATGTTATAACGGTTGTCAAATAATTGCAACACAGAAACCACCATCAAGATAGCGTTGAGACATCTTCACCGAAATCAGCTAGCAACTTCTTCACCCAAATGAGCTCTTGACATGCGTCTGCCAACGCCACAAACTCTGCCTCCGTAGAAGATAAAGCGATGCTTTCTGGATGCCCAACTTATGATACCACCTCCAAAACGAATCAGTAAACCGGTGTTTGACATTCGGTCTCGATGGTTGCCAGCCCAATCAGCATCTGCAAAAGCCTGTGTTTGTCGATCCCAGGTTCAATCTGTGGTCGCATGTAGTCTTCAGGTACCTGAGCACCCTTTTCGATTCCTGCCAATCCAGTTGCGTTCAGTGCCAGAATCGATGTGCTAACCGCTATGTCGGATAAACTGCCACGTACAGCACACCACCTATCAGACTAAGGTCATAAGTCGATCCTCCTCCCGCCTCCAAAGGAATCACGGAGGGTTTAGAATTCTTTAAACCAAGCTTCTCCGCATGCTTCATTATGTACACACTTAGATTTTTTGCCGAGATTGGCACCACCGAGCAGCTCGGCATTTTATTTTGCTGGATCTTAATGAAAAACTTGCCGAGATTCAGCTAACAAACGGGAATTTTGCCGAGAATTCAACTTACAAACAAATTTTGCTGAGATCTCAGTAAAAATAAATGCCTAACTGGTGGTGGCAATCTCTGCAAAAAATCTATGTGTGTAGTTTCCTTGGTTTAGCTTGAATCCACTGGAATCTCAACCCCCCCAAGTATTCTGTTTCGGCTGTGATATGATAATGGAACAAACAAATTAATTTATATTAATACAAAATAATAGCTAAACAGTTTATTTCCACTCTGATACGGTTACACCTCAAAGGTTATCGAAAATGCCTAACAATTAATAAATGCATAAAATGCTCGAGTAGACTCAAATGCCTATCGGGCACACGTGTTATGTCCTGAGACGCCAAATTCGTAGATGATTTTTGGACATTTATTCGTTGGTGAATTTTGGTGCACGCTTCTCCACAAACGCAGTCATACCTTCCAGCCGATCCTTGGTAGAAAAGGTGGCATGGAAGTGACGTCTCTCGAACTTCAGACCCTCATTCAGGGTGCTTTCATAAGCAGTATTTACGGCTTCTTTGCACAATTGCACAATTAGTGGCGAGAAACTGGAAATCTTCTCTCCAAGTTTGACAGCTTCACCGACAACCTTATCGGCTGGGAAGACCTTACTGACCAGTCCAGAGCGTTCGGCTTCCTCAGCATTGATCATATTACCGGTCAAGCACATTTCCATGGCCTTGGACTTGCCCATGGCACGAGTAGTGCGCTGGGTACCTCCGGCTCCGGGAATTGTTCCAAGAGCGATCTCCGGTTGACCGAATTTGGCCTTATCCCCAGCGTAGATAATATCGCACATCATAGCGAATTCGCAACCACCTCCCAATGCGTAGCCATTGACGGCAGCAATGACCGGTTTTTGGGCCTGAGCGACACGGGTCCAGTTATTCAGGAAATTACCGGTAATACACTTGGCGTAGGTGTTGTTCTGCATCTCCTTGATGTCGGCACCAGCGGCAAAGGCTTTCTCGCTGCCAGTGATGACAATAGCGCCAATAGTATCATCCCGCTCGAACTGATCCAATGCTTGGCTGATTTCGTTCATCAAACCATTGCACAGGGCATTCAGAGCCTTTGGGCGGTTCAGCGTAATCAAAGCGACATTCTTCTTTTCGCCAACCAGTTCGGTTTTGATAAATTCGAGCGTCTTGGGGGATGCTGAAATAAATGCAAGAAAAAATATCATTTGACAACTTTACCACTTTCTTAGGCATTCTACGAATTGGAAAGGTTTGAGTTTTTGGTGCATCTCAATAATTCTCTTTGAAAGTACACTGAATTCTTCTTTTACACGATTTTCATTCTTTCGATTTTGTTTTCTCATTTAGGATATACGGAAATGTCAATACCACCATATATTTTGTTTTCTTTTTAATATCTTTTTTAAATAAGTTGCACTAAAATAGATTTAAAAAGCGATTGAACGTTTACACGCAACTTGTTACTGAACCTATAACCCGTTTGTGTCAAAAAATATGCATACTAAGAAAAGTTTCAAGCGGCTTAAAATGTTCAATAATCAACTTCGGCTGTCCATATACCTTTAATTATACCCCACGTAAGTACACCTATTAGGAAAAAAAATCACATGCTATTTTGCTAACTACCTTATTGCTTTCATACAAGCATGATGAAATTTGACCTATAAAAATGTCGTGGTGGGTTACAACGTTCCGACAATTCAGTTTTCAAAAATTACACCGCTGCAACAAGTCGTCCAATATCTTCTTGTTCTTTTATTTTTTATGATTATAAAGTCAACCCTCTCTTACTCGATATTCAAAAGACCATTGACTTATAGTACGTTCAAACTACAGAGTTATAACATGTTATAGCGCTATCTTGATGGTGGTTTCTGTGTTGCAATTAGTTGACAACCGTTATAAAACATGTTATAACTCTCCAGTCTGGACAGCGTTTTATAGTACGTTCAGACTACAGAGTTATAACATGTTATAGCGCTATCTTGATGGTGGTTTCTATGTTGCAATTATTTGACAACCGTTATAACATGTTATAACTCTCCAGTCTGGACAGCGTTTTAGGGAAGTACATATCGAGTTACAGAACATCAGAAAAAATATCAATTCTTAATGCGTAGGCGAGCCTTGAGTCACGAGAAAAGGGTTTCCGAAGTTTTAATCGCAACAGCTGAAGTGCTCTTTTTCTGTTGTTGGTCGTGATTTGCTCGATTGATTCCACTATTTGACAGCTCACTTGGTTGCCGAGATTCTATCCGCCAGACTATGAATGTAGCGACTATTGTAGGGCCTAGCTTTGGTTTGAAAAATTTCAATCATCAGCCCTTCTACGTCACTAGTCTTATCAATGAAATGAAACAAAAAATTAATGATTGGCCGTTTTAGCATAGAGGTAACTCTAAGACCACTGGGTCCCGAAGAAAATCATTATTATTTTTGGCTCACTCAGTACCAGAACAACGGTCCCAAGCAGTCCCAAGCTATTTCACTCACCCCTGCATGTTCTGCATGAATCCACACACCCCCTGATGTTATCTGTCAAACTTTCATAGCGAATCAAAACAAACATAGTGTAGTAATAGAATTTCAACTAGAATAGGGTACGTTAATCGTTTGCTTGGGACCAATAGGCTACTAAAGTGGTGAGCCAATTTAAAATCGTTAGTTTCGTATTGATTGTTGTTATAACTCTCCAGTCTGGACAGCGTTTTAAACGCTGTCCAGACTGGAGAGTTATAACATGTTATAACGGTTGTCAAATAATTGCAACACAGAAACCACCATCAAGATAGCGCTATAACATGTTATAACTCTGTAGTCTGAACGTACTATTAAACGCTGTCCAGACTGGAGAGTTATAACATGTTATAACGGTTGTCAACTAATTGCAACACAGAAAGCACCATCAAGATAGCGCTATAACATGTTATAACCATAGAGGTAATAGTACGTTCAGACTACAGAGTTATAACATGTTATAGCGCTATCTTGATGGTGGTTTCTGTATTACAATTAGTTGACAACCGTTATAACATGTTATAACTCTCCAGTCTGGACAGCGTTTAACTCTAATAGTACGTTCAGACTACAGAGTTATAACATGTTATAGCGCTATCTTGATGCTGGTTTCTGTGTTGCAATTATTTGACAACCGTTATAACATGTTATAACTCTCCAGTCTGGACAGCGTTTAAGACCAGAAGGTCCCGATGAAACGAACTTAACTTTTTGGCTCAGCTCTGGTACTATCTTCGGTCCCAAGCTAATCGGTGCACCCCTCGAAACATAGGAGAATCCACGAACCCCTCATTTTATCTATCAAACTTTCATAGCGAATCAAAACAAACATTGTTGCTTTTTTGATTTAATTTATCTTTGAGTGTAAGACCAAAAGGTCTCGAAGAAACGTGCTCAACTTTTTGGCTCAGTTCTGGTACTATCATAGAGGTAACTCTAAGACCAGTCGAGTATTAGTGCAAGACACTGAAGAAGTCTGCACATTGTAGACGAAATACGCGTATCTGTCAAGGATAAACAAATAAAGTAGTGGAATTAAATGGAAAATACTAATCCTTCTCTCTCTCATTATACAGGTATTCCACTAAGACGCCCAGCTTTGATAGTTTTAACCATGAAAGTTTTTAAAACAAAAGTATTTGGTTTGGTTTGAAAGTGTATTTTTCACTTTTGACTTGTACTTTTAAAAGCGCATATTTTTAAAATGAAAATTGTTTAACTGTCAAAAATACCTTGTCATAGCAACGTTTTTGGCAGCACTGGCAGCATTTACCGCTAAATTTAACCTTAACGTCAAAAGTCGCAAATCATGTTCCTTGTGTGGAATGAAACTGAAAATCAACATTAAATCCGCTGGATATTTCAGGCAATATTTTTACTATTGTCGGCGAGATTGTCGGTTACGGAATCCATTGTGACCAGGGGGAACGACACTTCAGGATTATCCCATTTTTACCCAAACCTCTCATATAATTTTCAACGTGCACAAAATTTCAATCCATCCTATCTATTCTTTCTATTCCCAACTTATCCCTTCTGCATGCACACAAATTGTCAAGCAAGCCGTGCAGTTTTTCGAAGTTTTCAGGTCGACCGCGAAGCACTCTGCCAAACTCACTGTCAGTTTACAACACTCTCCACAACAAACACCACGTATGTCAGCTGGCCATGCCGGTAAAAAATCGGTGCGAAAACTAAAAAAAGATGACGGACCACTCGTCTATAATCGGTCTCGGGGGCAAAAAACATCAAGTGCATCACGGAGGAGACGGCAACGCACATCCCGGACTCAAACCGATCGAATTCGACGGATAAGAGCCCGGCTCTGTGTGTTGTAGCATGGAAGTTGCCGAACAGGCGCGAAGCAACTGTTGATTTCGTTCAGCTGATTCTAGCCCCGGGAAAAGCCTCACCAATGAAACCCCATACGACAAGCAGGTGGAAAAGGAATTCAGGTCATTTTTTCCACTCGGCCCAAGTTTTACTCGTCTCTGCTGCTGGTCAAGGGTTAATGGTGAAGTAAGACACCCACCGGCTGTGCGAAAATATTGCGAATTAAATTCCCGTCCAAATGCAGCTGGGAATATTAACCGGAACCTTGTAATCCATCGCCATCACCCGTTCCTCCTAGTTTGCAGTTTCGACCTATTCGGTGCGGAATCATTTTCTGCACTTGAGCTGTGAGCTTTGGTTATTATAGTTGGGCGGTGTCCCGAGCGGTGTCCATTAATTCTGTTTTGCTAAAAATGAATATTTTTGACCCCCCCCCCCCGTTTGGAACAAAACTTTACACTGAAAATGACCCCTCTCTATTTATTACGTAACGCTTTATAAACCCCTCCCCCCCGCCTTTTCATTTAATTAATTTTTGATTTCGTTTTGTAGCAAAAATCACAATTTATAAAATTAAAACAGATCCATTTTGCAAAGCAAGATTTAAGGCCGGCTCACAATAGATACGTTTTCAGGTTTTTTGACAGTTAGCCCATGAATTATCTGTCAAAAAACCCGAAAACGTATCTATTGTGCACCGGCCTTTAGTGATGACAGCCTTCGTTGTTGTACAAAAAACGTCTAAAAAGACCTGTATTTTCAAACTTTACATCAAGAAACGAAAAAAAAACAAAATGTTCTCTTTGTTCCGTAGCGCAAAGCTTTACTACTCCTCCCCTATGCATAATTCGTAACGATATAGGTGACACCCTCTCCCCCTATAAGCGTTACGTAATTCATGGACGCTACATTGCAGCAAATTTTTCTTCTTTTTACACCTACACGGTAACCAGCGTAAACACATAAATGAGTAAAAAAATACACATTTTTTATATTTATATGCAGCTGTCAAAAAATGTGTAAATTTGGAGATCCTAAAATGTGTATACAAATACACATTTTAAGAATGTAGTACCAGTCAAAAAATGTGAATTTTTATACTCATTAATGGGTAAAAAAAAAACTTCAAACTTTGCTGCATCCTACTTTGTTGACGCACGCCATTTGCTAAATTTCAGTGAAGAACAGCAGGAAAATTGAGGAACTACGGTCCAAACTGGACAGTGCGCAACGATGGACATGCTAGAGGGTAGGTGATTTATGTTTTTTTCATAGCTGTTAGTTTTAGTTTAATTTATATACTTCATATACTGATTTTTGTTTTTCTTCCCTTGATTTGTTTCCCGTGCTGAGCATCAATGCTACCGACGCCAGGGAGGAATCTCCCATACCTGGACCCTACCTATCGACCCATCAACTCATGAACCGGAGACCAATGGCTTCACTTCCCTTCCGAAGGGAGGCGTGATCCTCGGTGCGATCAGAGATGTTATGCCTCAGAACATCCCGGCAGCGTCGACTGGGATTGAGAGGAAATCACGCTTACCAACACCTCCGGCGCCGCTACTTATTTTTGTTGATTACATTTCTGTTTTTAATAAAATATATACAATAATCGAGCAATCTTTAATTTACCATTGACACAAATAAGAAAATTCCGAAGTTAATAAAAAACCATGACCACCCATTATATTTAAGTTCTAGAAATGATTACTTTTTACACATTTTGCTGTAAAAACCGTTCTTGAAAAATGTGTAAAAAATACACTTCTTTTGACGTTTGCTGGGTTTACACATAAATGTGTAAACGCAGTTTACACATTTTATGAGTAGGCCCCTTTTTTCACGAAATGTGTGAAATTTTACACATTAATGTGTTTACGCTGGTTACCGTGTATCCTCTTCGCATTCAGACTCGCATCCCTCTGAAATTTTTTAACACCCCTCACATCACATCAATTGCTTGATCTATTCCCATCTATTTTTTTCTATCCCTGCTCATTTTCGTCATCACGACACACTCAAAAAAATCCCATCAATTATGTTTTTCCCCGAAAATCCCAAGTAATTACTTGACTGAAAAAATACATCCAAATGAGTGTCGTTCCCCCTGATTGTGACATCATTAGTTAAAATTGTAAGTATTTAATTATCAATGTTATTGTGTGAAGTTATTTAGATTTTTTTTCAGACGATGAAATCTACCAATGAATAAATCCGAATCAACCCAAGAATCAACAGTCAGCCGAAAAAAATCCACCTGCAACTTTGTGATATCGCAATACGATGACAACGATTTTCTACTCACTGAAAACCTGCGGATGATGTCTTCCGAAACCCAGCATAATTAATATATTTGTATTCATGTGGATAGTAATAATAAATATAGTTGTAGTCCTTTTTTAATTTATGAAACATTTGTTACTATCGATTGAATAAATATTTATTAGAATTTAAAATGAAAACTAATATTGCAATGTTGAAAATGCTTGTATTTTAATTGAAAATATTTTTATTATAGATTCAAAACGGCACCTGTTATTACAACTTTACCACACTTTCATGACAAAAGTTTGATTTGATACAAAAATAATCCACTTTTAATTATAATACTATCTTGTTTTTCATTTGACAGTTCTACAATTCGTTTTGAAAGTTTCAACTTTTAAAAGTAGCATGCGAGGAACTTTTGAATTGACAGTTAGCTGATTTTTGTTTTGAAAGCTAACCGCTTTCTACCAAAAAGAACCAATGCAAACTTTCAATTCTACCAATGGTATTTTTAATTTTAGCAACGGTTTTTCTTTGTGTGTATGCAAGGTAATTTTGTGGTTTTGCTGCCCCCTCGGTAGAGATGAAATTTTGCGCTCTTTTTTATCAAAACAATCACACCAAAATCAGAGATGTCCCATTTTTTAAATTATTCGATTAACATCTAATCGATTCCTGATGAATGTGGGCGTCTTAGTGGAATACCTGTATAATGAGAGAGAGAAGGATTAGTATTTTCCATCGTCGTCGGTGGATTTTTTTTTAACTTTTGGTTAAAATTTGACAGATGGAAAGTTATCGATTAAGGCTGTGAACCATTTGCCGAGTTAAATTTAACTCGTGGTTAAAAGTGACATTTCGAAAGTTATTTCTTATGTTCGAAAATCCCCGTGCTGCCGATCGACCGGTTTTCGAGCCACGGTCGACAAAATTTAACTTCTTGTCTGTCAGAAGTAACCACGCTCGGATAGCAGGGTTAATCGATAACTTTTCATCTGTCAAATTTTAACCAAAAATTAAAATAATCCACCAAATGGTTCAGAGCTCAAATGGTTCAGAGCCTCAGAACCACAATAGAGCTTTTTGACGTTTAATCGGCGCACACTACTGTACCATTTGAAGCGAACGAGTGCGAGCAAGAGGGAAACAGATTAGTGGGAAAACAAACCGTCCATTTATTTATGTTTGCTAGATAGAGAAAGATGATTAAACGTCAAAAAGGTCTATAGCTAAATTTTTAATTATAATATTTTTTTTCCAAATCACCCTAATCCATACGCTACACGTAGTGTGGCAGTCATGCTCATATAAATGTGTCGCAACGCTTGTAAGCGTTGTGGGCACATGTTGCGCAACAACATCAGTTTTTATTGATAACACAACATGTTGTGATTGCTGATGGGGTGGTGCGGGACGAACGGTCAGTTTTTGAGTGAAACATATGATACGTACTGACTGCCTATTATAAACAACTAGGTATCAATAATTTGCTCTGCTAAAACAATTAAAACCATTATTAAAAATGTCCGTGCTGTTACGTAACCTTCGATTGACTACTGGCCGGTTCCAGCGGCACATGAGTGTTGTTGCGTCGGTACTGCGATACAGTGAATTCGGTGACCCAGCCAAGGTGATTCAAGTTCTGGAAGAGACCGTTTCCTATCCAGCTAACGGGGAAGTTCTCGTCAAGACCCTCGGAGCGCCAATAAACCCTGCTGATATCAACACCATTCAAGGTAGGTTTTTAGATAAAGGGTCCTCGATCGTATTGGTTGGTCAATTTCAAGTTCATATTTTTGTAGGAAAATATCCCGTGAAGCCTCAGTTTCCTGCTGTGGGTGGCAATGAATGCGTAAGTGAAGTTGTCGCAGTTGGTGGTCAAGTAGGAGGTTTGAAAGTTGGTGACCGTGTAGTGCCATTTGCTACTGGATTGGGAACGTGGCGATCTCATGCCCTGTATAAGGAAGGTAGCCTCATGAAAGTACCAAACTCTATCGGTATCGCTGAGGCTGCAACAATCACAGTCAATCCTTGCACTGCTTATCGGATGCTAAAAGACTTCGTTCCGCTGAAAGCCGGTGATACAGTAATTCAGAACGGAGCGAATTCAGCATGCGGACAGGCGGTTATTCAACTGTGCCGAGCATGGGGTGTAGAGTGTGTAGGGATTGTTCGCGACAGGCCAGAATTCAATAAACTGCGGGTATATCTAAAGGATTTAGGTGCCGCAGAGATTTTAACGGAAGAAGAGCTACGAACTACGAAAATATTCAAGAATGGATTGTTCAAGAAACCAAAGTTAGCTCTCAATTGCGTTGGCGGCAAGAATGCTTTGGAAGTATCACGGAATTTGGACAACCAAGGCATCATGGTTACATACGGCGGGATGTCACGGGAACCAGTTACCGTACCGACAGCATCGCTTATTTTCAAGGACTTGCAGTTCAGTGGTTTCTGGATGACCCGTTGGACTAAGAATAATACACAAAGCCCCAAGCGTACGGAAATGTTCACGGAGCTGTTCGAATTGATTGAAAAGGGAGCGCTGAAGGCACCGGCTCACGAGATGATTGCATTTACGGATTACGTGACGGCGGTGACCAACGCACTCAACATCCAAGGTTTTGTAGGTAAAAAATATATTTTCACTTTTTAAGGCTGGTTGCTATAATGAATTCAATTTTATTGCAATAAATCGTTGACAAAAAAATATTCCAAGCATCGATTCAATCAAAACGAGCACAGGTCCCTGTATTTCAACTTCCGAGACTGTTTCGAAAAAACGATTTGATAACATCTCAATAATGCTTCCTGTACGGAGCTTATTTCATAGTTTGGGTATTGTGAATCAAACGTGTTGAGGAAATGGCAATATTCCGGTATTTTACGCAGTGCGGTCGCCATGTCATGCTCGCCAATTTGATTCATCTCGTCGTAGTCGATTGGTTGTTTCATTCTAGCTGGAAGATTTGCATGCGGTAAATCTGGATACAAAGGATAGTTCAGCTTGCACGCCTCGCATTGACATTTGAAGCAGTACTGCCCACGAAGCCCACTTTGACGTTCGGTTAGAGATTCCAAGCAGTGATGAAAACTGGCGGAAGGAAAAATTAGTCTATCTATTGTTCAACGTCTAATAATACATTGTAACTTACCCGTAGTTGTCGAATAACTGGCCTCCTTTTTGAATGGGTCGATTTAAGAGAGCTACAACGTGTCCATTCGGCAGAGTCATCCGGACGAGATTGGGGGCGCATGAATGATTGATCATGCTTAGTATTGGAAACGATCCGCATGCCAGATTAACTTGCGAGAACTTTTCGTATTGCAGTGGTGTGTAATCCATAAACATCAGAGAATGCATGTTAACCGGAGATGTTTGCGAATGACGGAATATGAGTTGCCGGATCAGATCATGTGATTCATTGTTATCACAGAGTTGACCAAGTTCTGTTTTGCGAAAAAGAAGTTCACTCATAATAATAGCATAAACAGATCGCTGAACGAGATCACTAGTGGTGCGTAACTTTTGGTTGGTGGCTAGCACGTGAATGGTACTATACACCTGTTTCGAATCAATGGAAGTCCAGTCTAATTTGAATGGATTTAACGATCTTTCATCGATTGATTCTATGAACAACCGAAGTTCTTCGAAATTATAATTAAATGTACTTATAGCAGTCATTACGGTCCTCAGTGCCACGCGGATAACTTTGGTAAATAGGAAGTGCATATCTTTGATAACGAAACATTCAATATGATGATAACTTTCCCAAGCCTTGTTTCGGCACTCTTCTGAACAGAACATTGTTATCGTGCATGTTTTGCACGGAATGAGCGTTAGAAATTTATCCTCATGGCAATAATCACAATGAGTGTAACGTAAATTGGCATCAAGTAAAGTAGAAAATGGTTTTTCCACAATAATAATATCTCCGGCACTTAAATTTCGATTCGTTACCAAATACCTCCCAAACTCTTCATCCTCCTTGAGCTCAATGCAATCCGATATGTGAGGAATTTTGGGATTCGGTTTGTAACTCAATTTTGGTTCACCCTGATCCAGTTGCTCGAAAATCTGCTGCCCCTCGATAATATCTAACAACTTCAGACAGACTTCTTCTCTTTTATCGAGCTTTGGAAGCAGGTGCTCGGGATATAGATTTTCTCGTGCCAATCGAATATTTTGCAGACAGTCAGCATATTCCTTCAGCTCAAAGCATACTGCCGAACGATTTGCGAACACGATGGCCAGGTTCTCAGATCGCTCTTCGCTCAACGCAATACTCTCATTATAATGTTCAACTGCCTTGATGTATCGTTTCACTTTGGGATGAAAATGAGAATTGCCGGATTTTCGGCACTCAATCGCTTTGCCTTCATTTTTGCCATCACCTTCCAAGCCAACCAATTTAAACTGGTCACTGTCATTTTTCTCAACTATGCAACGTACAAAGGCAATTATTTCGCCATCGGTTTTGCAACCCTTCAGGCCTTCAACCACTTGGCTTTGCTGTCCGCTTACTACAATGTATCTCCACAGCGCCGAATACAAGTCATAAGCATCAAGAGTCATTCTCGGAGGTCCTGAAAGAATTAAATTCAATACATTAACACATTTACCGTTCAACAACCGTTTTTTTTTTTATTCGTTTTCAATTTCAAGCACAGAAGGTTGCACGTGGCACGTTGGGCCAGGTCTTCAGTGAAAAATCACTATCCATACTGTACCAGGGTAGAGATATAGATTTGACAGCACAGAATAATAACCACGGCTTGTTTGTTAAGGCTTAATCCATGTGAGTAAATGTTGCTTCTATCTTTCGACAATACCACAGACGGACTAGCTTACGTTGACAGTTTGAACCCTGGTTTGTGTGTATTGTTTCAAGATAATTATGAAAAAATTGCCGTGACGTGAGTGCGCATTAATGAGTCAAAAGATACATCCACATAATACGAATGAATAAAGAAATCAGTTTAAACACAAAACATATAAACCGCGTACGATCTGAAACCCGTGTGAGTTCCGAACACCGCGAAAAACAACAACAACAACAAAAATAGCTGATTATCACTTAGAGCATGCCACCAAAGTAAATATGATAGTCTATGTTGGCAAGTTGATAAATTTTCATTTCCTCCTTAAATATTCCACTTACTATACTATAGAGCATTAAGTTACAAACTAACCATGTTCAAGCAAGTATCAGTGATTTTAAGATTTCGCGTATGTACCGCACAAATTACAAAAACTACGCAAACTAAAAAGGCGGGAAAATTCCAAAATCTACCAGAAAAAAGTCAATTATTAACCACAAAGTTTATTATTAACCCGATAAGCAGATAGAGAATGTCAGCAAGATTAATGAATTGCCTATGAATTGATTTTCAAGTATTTTCGGCGATTGTCTACGGTCCATATAAATTTCAAAAAAAATATATATGGACGATTGTCTACGCAGGGGGAGGAGGAGGAGTCTAAAACCAATGAGAGGTGATTCCCACAGAATGTGTCACCTCTTTTGTTCCTCCGCTGTTTAAATGATCAAACTCCGTCATCCATTTAAAGAGCGAGAAAAAATACAGACCACAAGTTCCTTGGGCCTCACCTGTTTACATCTCATTGGTCTAAAATTTCTAAAAAACGGTCTACGTAGTTTAAGAACCCCTTAGACCATTTTTGAACTAAACTATTACGAGTAAGGAAAGTCGGCATTAGAATAAAGATACGTCCAAAAAAAGGTATCTATTCTAGTCAAATTCCAAAGCCCTCATGTACCTGATAATTAAATCTTGCCACCGTCCTCTTAAATGACACTTTTCTGTGACAAAACGATTCAGCACGAGGTCAGTTCCCTATATAAATTGTATGTTGATCAGTTGAAGTGCTTCAATCACGGCTACAGGAATCCACCACAATGCGCCCAGGGTAGTGTCAGAGTCATATATCTACCTATTACGACTCGTAATTTACGAGAAAAAGAAACCTAGCCAGGTCTTAAAAGCTTCTGAAATTGCCACTTGGAGAATGTTAAACCTGATCACTAGGGTGGGTCAACTTTATAATTCTCTGCTCCTCCACTGACTGCTCTTTCCTTTTGTATTGAGGTCCTGAACAGCTATGCCAGAAATTGCAGGACAATTTTGAACCAAATTCGTCACAGTTGTTGCGAGACCTCAATACAAATCGAAAGAGCAGTGAGTAACAGAGTAACATAATAACATATTAGGTAACATGGGGTTGTAATCCGCCATCTCCGCCATACAAACTTGATTCACCATACTGGGTACATTTGACTCAATGCTTGTTTTTGTTTAACTAGTCAAGTGATGTTGGGAACCTGTCACCATGCAGCCATGACGATATATTAGCTTATTTTTATGTTTTTTTTTTAATAATCAGCTGATAGCATGTTGCATTGATAAACAATTCCCCGAACTTGGCGCGCATTCAGTTCACCATGGTTTCCGTTGCCACAAACAAACTGGCAAACGTTGATTTCGAAGCCACACGAGAATATTCTGACCGCTGACATTCTTTTAGTGGTGGCTCACTAGTTCAGACCTAGTAGGTACCTATTCTATTCCAGTATCGATTTGCACCGGTTCAAAGTTTATTTATTGCCTAAAGCCCAAGACCGTGAGCAATGACGATTACTAACCTTTTTATAATCCTCAATCTCGGAAGTGAGATGTTGTACGTGATCGATCAGCGACTGAAGGCACAAGCGATCCCACTGGATAAGTCGGCACAAGGTACGTCACGAAGGTTAAAATTTTCCTAAAAGAAAAGCAAATGGGGGAAAATTACGAATTTTGATTGACAGTTGCTGGTTTAAACTGAAAAATCGATTAATAAACACCTTCGTGAAAAATCGGAAAACTCGTGCGATGGATAACACCTCCCAATAAGGGGGATTGTCAAAAAGTCAGTGTTTATTTTTATACTTTTTATCTTCTGTAGCTCTGCAGCCCGTGAGGTTAAACAAACGCTACATTTATTATGAAACATCCATTGAAAATGATGTTGCATGACAATGGTGATCCTGTGATTGCATGGGATGATTTACAGTATCCTTCAGCAAATCCGACAAAATCATAGCCGGATTATTGGATGTTGAGTTGCGGTACATCGGGTACATCACAACAACAAAAAATTCGACAGTGAGCATGCATAAGGGCCTAACTGCGTTGGTCGATTCTCTTCATCGATTTTCTCTTTAAATTGCTAAATCCAAGGGAATCAGTTTTTTGAAATTTAACCAACAGTGGCTATCACTCGGGCTATCAAAAGCAACAACAAACGCATCGAGAAATGTAAATCCAAGCAAGTTATTAACAAAACAGAAAATCGATCATCGCAGTTACGCCCTTTTGCATGCTCACTGTCTAATTATTCATCCTGATCTGAAAATCTCAAAGATTGTTTGTATGTGTGCCACACATTAATTTTTGCAATGTAATCAATAAATGATATTTATGTTGCGGACGCATAGTTAATATGTGTACACATAAAAACCATGTGTGGCCACGCATACTATTCATTTGACGCATAAATTTCATATGTACTTCTGAGTGGATTCTGTTTATATGTGGTCACATGAAAATAATGTGGTTTCAATTGAAAATTCGTCAATAAAAATGCTTGAAGTATATATATTGCGCATATTCTATTTTTAAAAATTGTGATAAAAGTGCAAGTTTCCGTCTAACCGTCTTGGTGTCTTCGGTGCACTTATTCCTTATGTTGCAAGTAAAAAGTTCTTCTAGCCGGCGTCGGTGGTGTAGTGGTAAGCGTGACTGCTTTCTCACCCCAATGGGTCTCTGGGTTCAATCCCAGCCGAGGTCGGTGGGATTTTTCTGAGGCATAAAAATCTCTGGTCACGTCTTCCTTCGGAAGGGAAGTAAAGCCGTTGGTCCCGGCCCATGTGTGTTGAATGGGTGTGATATCCTACGCAGGTGTCGAAGCTGCCTTCCTGCACATTCGATTGCCGTCAATGGATGGCAATCGATGTCCGTCGTGTGCCCTACAATAAAAGTATGGACGACTGTCACCACAAAACTGAAAAAAGCTGTTCCAATCGAGCAAAGCGGTGCATTTTGACGGTTCGATTGGAACAACTTTTGACAGACGTCCATACCTCTTAGGTCCATACTTTTACTGTAGGGCTTTAACTAGATTGCGGAACAGAGACCGACGTTAAATAAAGGAAAGAAGAAGAAGAAGAAGAACCACGAGTTAAAATTTAACTCAGCAAATGGTTCACAGCCTTAAGGCCGGCGCACAATGGATACGTTTTCAGGTTTTTTGACAGTTAGCCCATGCATTATCTGTCAAAAAACTCGAAAACGTATGCATTGTGCGCCGGCCTTTACACAGGTTTATTTTTGACAGACACCTCGAAAGTCTACCGATCAACAATAGAAGGATTTTCGAAAATCTTAATTATTTTCGAAGTGTCAAATAACCCTGATAATATCCAAACGGGAGCGTGGTTATTTTTGACAGAACAAAAGTTAGATTTTGACTACTGATGTTGGTTCGAAAACCAGTAGATCGTCGACACAGGATTGTTCGAACATTGAAATTAACTTTCGATGTGTGGTAAGCGTTACTGCTTTCTCACCCCAATGGGTCTGGGTTCAATCCCAGTCGAGGACGGTGGTATTTTTCTGAGGCATAAAAATCTCTGGTCACGTCTTCCTTCGGAAGGGAAGTAAAGCCGTTGGTCCCGGCCCATGTGTGTTTGTGAATGGGTGCGATATCCTACGCAGGTGTGGAAGCTGCCTTCCTGCACATTCGGTTGCCGTCAATGGATGGCAATCGATGTCCGTCGGTGATTGGCACTAGACTGCGGAACAGAGACCGACGTTAAATAAAGGAAAAAGAAGAGATCGACGTTAAATAAAGGAAAGAAGAAGAATGGAAAATCGGTTGAAAAAATATTGAGTTACTCATGATAGTAGCGGTCACTTACACAAAATCGGTTTTTTAACAACATGTAACTTTAAATGTTGGGGGTGTTAGAACAATTTCAAATTTGATTGCATCCCTAATAAAAATAACCATAAACGAGAGCTTAACTACGTGTTCGGGGTATCATCCAAACCACTTGTGGGATAGTTTACCCATCCGGGATACAGTTCGTTTATGGTATTTGTTTATTAGGGATGTTGTACTTGACTAGACTAATAACCTACAGTAGGTCACTTGAAAAGTTATTTTTTTTTATTTGTAACACTCTGTCAAGACAAGAATCCGAGATACATTACATATTTTGAGAAAGAACCGTTTTGACTTCATTTTCAGTTTAATACTCGAAGAGTTAACGCTTCAGCTAGGCAATAATTAAAAATTAGATTCTATCAATCACTGGATCATCTTACGGAAGAAAAAGGTTGCGATCCAGCAAACAGCTCTTTTTTACTTCTTTAAAATATATAAAAAACCGCAAACATGTTTTCATTTTTTTAAACGATTTATTAATGTACCTTACAACTAAATTAACTTGTTAGTGAACGACTGGTTCGAGCGGCGTTCCTCGGATGGAAGAAAAGTCCAGCTTGCTGTCTATACTCTCGTCGAGCTGTCCAATTATAGCTACATTGTCCCCACGTATGATATGTAGCCCTAAAACGACTTGCTCGATACCTGCATTCATGGAGTACACGCGCTCGTGCGATTCGTCCAGGATTATATTGATAGTTTGATCGAATCCTTTCATTGTGCCGACAAAGTTCCGCCCATCAGCGGTTATGATCGATACAGTAGTATTCACATATGACTCCAAACCAGACATTGTTGGTTTTCTAAATAATAAATAAGTTGCTGCTGTAAACAATTTAGCATATATTGAACACTCAAACATTGATCACTTACCTTCTTTTAATAAAATTATTTTCAAAGCGGGAGAAGCCGGAAAATCTTTACTGTAAAACAATAACCAAAACAAAGCCAAACGTTTTAACAGTTGTCAAAACTGCAATAATGTTTCGAAAGCACAGCTCTTTTACAGTTGGCACACGGAAACTTGTACACAGAAACAAAAAAAATTAATCAAAAGCTTGGGTTTTTTAGGCTCTGCACACCAATTTTCTTAAATCTTCCCTAATAAAATTGTTATGGTTATTTTGCTTAACGACGTGTTCTGGGTGTCTTCCAAACCATTTGTGGAAAATTTCAATTATTTGGGTTATCGTTCGTTTATGGTTATTTTTTATTAGGGTTGTTCGATACTTTTTTGCTGGATTTGTTCGGTAAAATGTAATTTTTATTCGAATCCTTTGTAAAAAATATTATTTTACCAATTGTCCGCAATCAAAACTGCTGAATTTACGTAATTTACATACATTTATCGAAAACTGTGAATAAAATTTGCGGATCAAAACTGTAAAAGGCTGTAATTCCGCAATTCTGTAAAATGTTTGACGAATGTACTGTAAAAATAATCTTTTACAAACAGAAACAGCAATAAAGTACCGAATTCTGAAAAAGTTACTGAACAGATTTTCGTGCTGTCAAACTCAATATTGGCTGCCATTTCAATGTTGCCTGTCTTTCGGGTCTACGTTGTGAAACGTAAGTACTTTACTTTTAGCAAGATTTCGGGCAATTTATGCCGAAAATATAATTAGTATTATCATAGAGGTAACTCTAAGACCACTGGGTCCCGAAGAAAATCATTATTATTTTTGGCTCACTCAGTACCAGAACAACGGTCCCAAGCAGTCCCAAGCTATTTCACTCACCCCTGCATGTTCTGCATGAATCCACACACCCCTGATGTTATCTGTCAAACTTTCATAGCGAATCAAAACAAACATAGTGTAGTAATAGAATTTCAACTAGAATAGGGTACGTTAATCGTTTGCTTGGGACCAATAGGCTACTAAAGTGGTGAGCCAATTTAAAATTGTTAGTTTCGTATTGATTGTTGGTATTATTTCTACACACAAAGAACAAAAATTGTTGCTATAAAAATAATGCATGATCAAATTAAAAGTTTCCCAAATTTCGTAGTTTTAACTATGAACATTTTCAAAATATAACATATTTTTTTGGTTTAAAAGTGTTTCCTTTCACTTTTAGCTTGTAATTTTAAAAGTGTATTTTTTAAAATAAAAGTAAAAAAACTGTCAAAAACCTCTTCATTGCAAAGTTTTTGACAGTACTGGACCACCGTTTCCCGCCAAATTGGACATGTGAAAAAAAAAAACGAAACCAGCAGCTAACATGAGCAGCAGCAGTTTCTTCAAGTTTCCCACATTTTCATCCGCCGGCGCACTTGTTTCTCTTCTGACGCTATCGGGTGGAAGGATCGGAAGGATATTCCAGTTACGGGATTTGGAGGTAGGTTGATGAAATTTTCGAATACTTTCGATCTTGTTTCCGATTTTACTAATTTATGTGTTTTGAGCAGTCTTGCCGGAAAGGAAGGCTACTCCCACCATCACCATCACCAACTGTATCATTTGCGTAAAATGCTTCCCATGATTCCACAATGCAGTGCCCATTCAGTCATCATCAGAAATATCGAAATATATAAATAAGCGAAAATATATTAAATAAAATATTTCTATAGTTATTTCTTTTTCAATGCATATAGCAGTAAAATTAAAAATAATTCATATTTGAGATGAAACATACATCGTTGCGATAAAAATGCCCATCTTTTAAATTAAGTCCTTTCGTGAGTCTATTTAAAAAACATGGGTTTTTATATTGACAGTTCTACAATTCGATTTGAAAGTTTATACTTTTAAAAGTAAAAAACGAGTTACTTTTGAATTGAAAGTTGGCTGACTTTTGTTTTGAATGCTAAAGACTTTCTACCAAAAAGAACCAACGCAAACTTTTAATTATACCAATGGTTTTTTCAATTTAATTAACGATAATTTTTTGTGTGTAGGCCATTTTTTTCGTTTTTTTTTTCAGACATCATGGACGTTAGGCAACTCAATGTCCTCATCTACAGCAAAAACTGCATTTTAGCCGAGATTTTTGCACGGTTTGCTACTGAATCGATCGAGTCCGGGTTCTTCAATGATTTTTTTTTAAATTTTCTGTGCGAACGAAAGATGAAAATGCCTGACTCTATCTACGATGCAGGAAATATTGTGTTTTGCTGTGGCTAGCTGCGTGTACGCTGAGTAGATAGAAGAAGATTTATCACGATTTTGAAGATTTCCTGCAAAAAGATGATGCGCGATGCAAGTAGATGCGAGAAATGAAAGAAGATTTTTCGAAGATTTATTCGCTAGTGTGAGATTTTTTGAGCATCTAGAATTGAGATTTAGATGTGTCGCCCCCCTCGTTTTTTTTATGCATTTCAGTTTTGAGTAGATTAAAAGAGCAGACAAACAGACGTAACTATTTGCAAAAGTTTTTCTTGAAAACATATAGTATCTCAAAACATAGGACCTCAGTAACGACATCTCTCGGGCTTCTCGCGGAAAACAAGCTTGCTCGCGAACTCGCAAACATTATTGCATAAAAGTTCTATAGAATGTATAGAAACGTCAAAGTGATCCGATGCCGATCCGATAGAACCAAAATATTCGAGTACATTTGGTGAAAATGCTAGTACAATCCAGTAGTAGCAACCGGTGGAAACTAAGGATATTAAATTGGCTTACTACTTGACTATCCTATTGGTCCCAAGCAAATCGATTAACGTACCCCATTCTAGTCGAAATTCTAGTACTACACAATGTTTGTTTTGATTCGCTACACGCTATTTCAAAGCTACCCAAATTTGGATAGAATCCACCCAGATCTGTTAAAACTAAACCTACCCAAAAATGGGTAAACTGTGTTGGCAGTTACAAGTTGACAAATGAACAACATCGACATGAATCCGATCGACGTTGTTAATTTGTCAACTTGTCACTCCCAACATAGTTTACCCATTTTTGGGTAGGTTCAGTTTTGACAGATCTGGGTGGATTCTACCCAAATTTGGGTAGTTTTGAAATAGCGTGTATGAAAATTTGACAGATAAAATGAGGGGTTAGCGAGGGGGTTAGTGGGGTTAGGGGTTAGTGAATCGATTAGCTTGGGACCGAAGATAGTACCAGAACTGATCTAAATAGTAGAGCTCGTTTCTTCGGGACCTACTAGTTATAGAGTTACCTCTATGGTTGTATATACCCTCTGGTCTTAGTGTTACATCTATGATACTAGCGCAACTGGCACAAGCTTCTAATAAAATTCTATTACAGCGAATCACATTCACCCAGTAAGTTTGTCTGACACTTCATTTGTGGTATCACCCCCTTATACTTAAAAAGCAAGAAAAGAAATCATACGAGCCAAAACTTCCCATCGATTTCCAGTCGATTTGTTTTACTATATAAGGAAAATTTTAATATCATATAATAATATAATAATTTAATCATATCATATAATTTTACCGCTATACATTTACCTGGTTTTATATTGTTCGTAATGATTGTTAACCCTTATCTGTTGACAGTTCTGCGTGAAATCACCGAGGTGTTGTTGGATCCAAAGTTTCTTCACTACATTTCCACTGCTTATCAACACAACATGCTTACAGTACAACAAACGCGTATTCTCCTAACCGACATTGCCTGTTGCTCATTGATGCGTCTTGACGTTAACTCCATGGACAAATTGTGGGATCTGATGATTATGATCTTCAAATGGCAAATGTACCTAACGAACAAGAGTGCACAAGCGTTGATGGATCTTACCTTTCGTCACCTGGATGGAATTGGTCGACTTATTCCAGAGATGAGAAAACAAATACTAATTGACAATGTTAAAAAGTCGCTGATCGAAATATGGGAACCGCTTTGTGAAGATGATCAAATAATTGTACACCGTCGTGTATATAAATGGCTTAAACCTTACACAACCAAAATATCAATATTGATCCGCATGGGTTTACAGAAATCCGACGGAGAGTTCGAATTATCGCCACATAGCAATGTGTTTTATAATTACTACATCAATAATATAGGAGAAAATATATATTCCAAAACAGCTAATCTTCAAGTTTTAAAAAGTCAAATGGATCAGACTGGGAAGGATTCTACAACTGATGATTTAGCAGCTAAGAGTCATGAAATCGATACTCTCGTACAACAGTTAAATATTCAACATACTTGTGAAGAAACTGACGAGCCCGAGCTAAGTGCTTCAAGCATAGAAAAATTAGGATCTGTTCATGGCGGATTGAGTGAAATTGTAATTAATCAAAACACAGAATCTGAATCAAAAACCAACCAAGCTGGTAATGTTACCCAATCAAGTGATGAAACTAACTTGACTAAATTCATGAAGAAAATCAAAATGGAAGACAGTGATTTCGTTGTTAAGCACATTGAAACAACTAACCCAAATGAAGAACTTCTTAAAATGTTTGATCAAAATCTCGATTTATAAACTGGAAAAAATGCTATACATTTGCCTTTATGGAATTAAATGGGGTTTCTAAGACCTTAACTAGTCATTATTGCAAAACTGTCCCTTACGAATAAAACATCAAGTGACATTAACACCTGTTTAGACTCTCGTGCAATCACGATTATCACAGTCGAATTTCGCTATTTCAAATGTATGCAAGCAAGTTGCATTTCACACATGGTGGGTTCATATTTTGACAGTTAAGTGTGGCATTCTACAAGAAAAAATTGTCACTGTGCTCTACTGTGATAATTGTCGAGTCTAAACTGGAGTAAATTTCGCAGCGAAATGATGATCTTCACTATCCCCTAATAAACAAGTACTATAAACGAACTGTGTCCCGGATGGGTAAACTATTGCACAAATGGTTTGTAAGATACCCCGAACACGTCCTTAAGTTCTCTTTTATGTTTTTTTATTAGGGTTATCACAGAAGTCTAAGCGATCATGCAAAGCATAAAATATTTAATATGTGATTATGGACATTTAACTACCCTAGTAAAAATATTTATAAAAAGTGCTTAACGACGTGTTTGGAGTATCAACCAAACCATTTGTGGAGTATTTCTTCCATTTGGGGTATTGTTCGTTTATTGTATCTGTTTTTTAGGGTAGTAATTAATTTCACTTATCAACAACTTTAGTAGCATAGGACTCCTGATAGGATTGAAAAAGTTTTCATATTTTTCTTTGTAATTGAATAATATATTAAAAGTGAATATGTACTTCCCGTAAAACATGTACCTTTTATCTTAAGTTTGAACAATTGTGTCGATTTTCTCTTGCTATAGGTGACAAACTGGCAAATAGCTGTCTAAACGAAACAAAAAAAGGACCTAACATTGAGTTCCATTCACCCAAGTCGAAGGTTGCATGCGGGAAGTTAATTCTGAGTTAAAAGACTTTAATTAGTTTTCATTCGCGCACATGTAAACAAACTACTTACTTCTAAGTTGTTTTCACCCAACGTCAACTTCAAACTTCTCAATATTAAGCTGTGCATCACTTACTTAACGTTCACTTCCGTCATCTGAAGACACCTATTAGGTGGATTAAAGAACTCAACCGTTGATTAGTTTTGTCTTTCCTTGTAAAGCTTGTGGGCTCCGAGGTGGGCTCACTGTTTCGAGACATAATTGTACCGTTTCATTTTTGAAAACCAAACCGTGTCCGCAAGTTTGGTTCCGTTGCACATAAAGTTCACGATTGACTTCAGTCATCACAGTACATAGTGTTAGCCGAGTTGTTAGCTGCCATGAATATCATCTTATGCATATTGTGTTTTCTGTCAGACTGTTTACATTCAGCGTTATAAATAGAGCTATCTTTTAAAAAATTCCCTTGATTTGTTGTTTTATTTAACTAATTTCCGAAACTTTTCTTTTTCTATAACCACTACATACCCATTATAAAGTTTTTCGTTGAAGAACTTGAGACCAGAGCAGTAGATTTTAAAGAAGGTGGCAGCATAGGAGAACTATGGATGGCCACTAAGAATGCCTTTACCAAGAATAGAGCTGCGCACGAAAACAGTGGATCACGGATGATATCTGGTGGAAGATAGAGAAGCGAAGAGAAGTAAAACTTGTGATAGAGCAGGTGAAACCAGAAGAGCCAAGAACGAATCCCGTCAACGCTAGTCGGCTCTAGATGAAGAGAACAAGCGCTCCTATAAGGCCAAAAAAAAATTGACAAAAATTTCACTTCGCTTGGAGCTGTAAACATATACGATCCAGTGAAATCGAATTTGGTGGATCCCATCTTTTTCGCTTACGTTTATTTTTTCACGAATGCAGATGCTAGTGAAAAGAACAGCAGCTAAACGAAAAGTTGACGTTTCGAGAAAGAGTGTATCTCTCAGATTTTAACTTCACCGGAGGTGTAAACTGATCGATTTTGTTTTACGTGAATTGCGAAAAAAAAGGAAAATGAAAAATGTTCGACACGACCTTTTTGCTAGCTAGTTCGCAAAATGAATGCATTTAGGATTGCACTCGTACACCTCTCTTCGTAGAAATTTTGAAATCATAATCACTTTCATAGTTCTTCAATTCTCCACTTTGATTTGCCAATTGGTTTTACAGTGATCCAGCAGAAACTTTCACATTTTTTGTTGAGAAAAAGTAGACTTATACAACTGTCCCATCGGTTTACTTCTGGATTTTTTATGTGTGGTGAGTTCAGCCGTAAATTAATTCAGATCTTTATAAAATCGTTAAATGAGATCATCCCCGACCCAATGGAAATTTGCAAAAGGAGCCATAAATGTGCATTAATTTAAGTTGTAAAAATCGGCATTTTTTTGTAAACAAACGGTTTGGTTGCCGTTTCCGCTCATAATCGCATAGTGCACTCCTTCATTGGTGGTGCCTCGTGGTGCGCATCAAGCCTACCCTGAAAAAATAGTGAAATCTAAATAGTATAAAAGTTACGCTAAATCGCAACTCTCCGTACAGACGCAAAGGTCGGTATAATGCATACACACAAACAACAAAAATTGTATCATTAAACATTATGCGTTTTCAAATTAAAAGTTTCCAATATTTACTAGTATTACATATTACATATTACATATTCATTGACAAGTGAATCCAAAAGGCGCGAAAACAAACATTGAATGTGAAGTTTCAAATTATGCACTTCAACAGTGGTTTTTCATAAAGGCCTAGGTTGCAAACGTAAACCTTGTAAATGGCTTCTTGCGTAAATTAAAATCTATCTACGAAAGCCACCAAATTCATCGGATAGAGCCTGGAATAAAGGGTATCTTCCTTTACAAGGCAATGCTGGTAATTTACTTGGGAGAGTTTTCATTCACATGAAATTTCTGTAAAGGTCATTGTTTACGTTTACGGGCTCTTATGAAAGATCACTGTTAACAGCTGTTAACTTACCTATGTTGAATTCGATTCAGTTTAGAAAATTAATTCCCGTTCGAAAGCTGTTTTTCTCACGTGTATTTTGAGTTTTGAGGAAGAATGGGAACCCATGCGCATTCTCAAGCTGAGCGTGACTCATACAAGCAGATACACCGATACGACACTGTGCAGTGGCCGAGGTATTTGCATCCGGAAGTCAACACTCATCTTTGGACGGCCAGCAAAGAGGACCTGACGCCACCGATTCAATTTTTATTTTTCAGAAGATTCGGTAAATTGGACTGAAAATTGTTTAATTGAAGTGTTTTAATTTAATTTATTTTTTCCTGTTTAGCACCAGCAGCTCCAGAAACAGCCAATACAGCAGAGTCAGCGATTGCTTTCACAAGATTTCGTGAGGCATTTTTGGCAGCACTGAGCATTGCAGGAGTGGAGAGAGGATGTTTGTCGATATGGCAATAACGGGGTCTGAGCATCACTTCCACTGGATGGAGTCAGTCTAAGCGAGTGATTGATGAATTTACGTTACGGTCGACCAGCAGATGGATATGATGAGAAAATGATAATGACGTTTTGCTACCTGTCAAATCGTATGGAATATTTTTTAGTACATCATCACTTTTGTGGTTTTGGATTTCAAACCTAGGTGTCACATGCACTGGTGCAGTTTCGCGTAGATTCATCAATAGGGACATGCACTGCTAACGAATTCGATTCGTTAGTTGGGTCAACTGACAGAAGACTAAAACTTGTTGGGGGGGTATGCGTATCCTTTGTTGCGGTTAACAAGATTTAACAAAAAAAAACAATTCGGACTGAAGCAAATTGCTTGAAAATGAGTGAAAAAGCCAAATACTGTTTTGCTTAATATGTGTTTTAGTTTCTTCTGGAATTTCAAATTTAATTCAAATCTTTCGATCAAATACCATATGTTTGCACACATTACATTGAATGCGCAGTTCAAAACGCATATGCTTACCCCTAGGAGGAATTTATCGTTGATTGTCAAATCTACTTTTACATGAGATTTTGACATCGAGATGCTTTTTAATTGGGTCATGGCCCAACTAGCGAACACCTAAATCTCGATTTTAAATGGTCGAAAAATCTCACACTATCGAATTAATTTACGAAAAATAATTTTTTCATCTCTTGCATCTTATTTATTTATTTATTTATTTGTCGTCAATCAGTGTAGACCTTAGTAGAGATCTAAACCCATCTACTCGCATTGCTCTCCCTTTTTTTTTGCAGAAAATCCTCGAGGAAATCTTCAAAATTTTAATCGTGTTTCTATCTATTAAGCGCGAGTGCATCTCACAACAGCAAAGCAAAATTTTTCCTGCATCTTAGATAGAGTCGCCCCCCTCGCGAACCCCCAACAAACGAATCTCCGCTGTATTTGCAGAGATATCAGCAAAAGTAAATGCCGAGGTAATCGGCTGTTGGAGGATCTACCGAGCTACACGGAGAAAAAATACTATCCAAAATTTGAGTTCTTTTTACTTAATATTGACTTCAGCCTCTCACTTGCACTCGTTATTGTTGTTTACCGTTCTTTTGACGGTTTTAATTAACGAGTACCAACGCGCGCACAACTTAGCATGGAACGAACATGGACTTTCTCTTACGTGCGAAATGCCTGGCTGGAGATTTCCAGCCGGGTCGCAGAGAATACACTTGATTTATTGAGAATGTCGAAATGCCGAGATGGGTAGTCCCATTCGGATCGAGCTCAAAAATCAGAATCACTGTTTATTGAACATGCTTATCCTTTTATACAAATTTGGTTACATTGGTTTATGTGTGGTAGAGTAAGATATCTATAGAAATATGGTTTAGAGTGAGACGACTGGAGTGACATATAATTTGTCCAAAATTGCTAATCCTAGCATAATCGATAAGTTTACATGTACTTTACTTAAGCGCTTGGCGTTGTCATCCGAAACCTTTCCTGCTTCGTGAACGACCTCGGACCACACCGGTAGGGTGGAGAGAGACGAGAGCGCGCTGAAAGTCCAGTATCGAGTGGCTACACATATGGCTCGTTTAGAATTGCATAATTGCATTCTTTTTACCCGGGCGTTGCCTTTGCTGTCCGGGGGTGAATGAATATTTACTGTTTTGGTTGTTTAGTTATGTCAGGGAATGGAGTATCATATTTGTTAATTTGTATTT